ACTCCCCTTAGAGGCTGGCCAGGTCATGGTTTCACTATGAAACTGAAAGGGTTAAAGGCAGTGATCAAAATTTGGAGCAAAACAACCTTTGGTAATATAGCACAACAAAAGCATCATCTCACTTCAGAGCTAGCTATTTTGGATGACTTAGAAGAGGAGGGGCTCTTGAACACTGTACAAAGCATCCAGCGGAAATCTATCAAAACACATCTCCTTGAGGTGGCTGCGAAAGAAGAGATTCTTTGGCTTCAAAGGTGCAAAACTAAATGGCTTCATGAGGGGGACAACAACACATCTTTCTTCCACCGTATTGTAGCATCGAAGAGACGAAAGAACACCATCACTGAAATTCTTTCCATGAATGATATGAGCCTTTTTGAAGAAAATGACATCGAAAAAGAATTTCTCTCTTTTTTTGACAGGTTATACTCTAAAAGTGGGGGACAAAGATTCCTCCCATATCCCCTGGATTGGAGTCCCATCAACCAACAACAAAGCACTGGCCTTGAAACCCCCTTCACTGAAGAAGAAATTTGGAATGCTATGAAAGATTTAGGATCTAACAAATCCCCTGGACCGGACGGCTTTACTGCAGAATTCTACAAAAAGTTTTGGAACACCCTCAAAGACGACATTTTGAGAGTGTTCCAAGAATTTTTTAAGAATGGGATTATCAACGCAAGCCTCAACGAGACGAATATATGCCTCATCCCCAAGAAGATTTTTCGCCCTATAAGCCTCATCTCATGCTTATACAAGATCATAGCAAGAGTTCTTTCCGAGAGACTCAAGCGAGTACTGCCATACACTATCACTGATGCCCAATCAGCCTTCGTGGCTGAGAGACAAATCCTTCATGCATCGCTGATTGCTAACGAGCTTATTGAGGATTGTGAAAGGAAGGAAAAAAAAGGAGTTGTCATCAAACTGGATAATGAAAAGGCTTTCGATAGTGTTGATTGGGAATTCCTTGACACTGTGTTAGAGGCTAAAGGGTTTGGACACACGTGGAGGAAGTGGATCCACAGCTGTATCTCCTCTGCAAATTTCTCTATAATTATAAACGGCCGCCCGAGAGGAAAAATCATTGCAACAAGAGGCCTCTGGCAGGTGATCCTTTATCTCCCTTTCTCTTCATCTTGATTGCTGATGTTTTTAGTCGCCTCATGTCACAGGCAGCCAGCAGAAACCACATAAAGGGTTTTGACCTTGGAGACAATTCTCTGAACATCCATCATCTTCAATTCGCAGACGACACCATACTTTTCTCCACTTTTGAGGACTCCTCCTTCACCAACATGTTCAACATCAGCCGTTTATTTGAGGAGGCATCCGGGCTCAAAATCAACCACCAAAAATCTGAGATTTTGGGAATTAATATGGAGGACAGTGAGCTCTCTACCCTTGCAACTAAATTCAATTGCAAAATGRGAGGTTGGCCTACTCTTTACCTCGGTCTTCCCCTTCAYGGAAAGYCCAAAACCCTTCCTTTTTRGGACCCTATGATAGAGAAGGTTAAGAAAAGACTGCATTCATGGAAAAACTCTTTCATCTCCAAAGGAGGTAGACACACGCTCATCCAGGCTACTCTTACAAACCTCCCTACTTACTACCTTTCACTGTTTCCGCTTCCA